TTCTACTGTTATCTGTATTTTTTTTTTTAAGATTTTATTGGGGAACTAGGGGAGGGGAACAGACAAGTTGCTGTCCTTTTGTTCTTCTGTCTAGTTGTGGAGGACGTCGCTTCACTGGCCCATGTTGGTATTATCATTGCACTCTTCCTGGCTGAGGCAGATCAGTCACTGGCGGTTGGACGGCCGCTCACAGTGGCTCACGGCATCTCACGCCGGCTGCAGGCCACTCACGGTAGCTCATGGCAGCCCACTGCAGCCCCACTGGCAGCCTACGCCGTCGCCGGCGACTCACAGCAGACCAGCTCCAGGTCGATCTGTTGTTCACCATCTTAGCTGTAGAGGGCACAGTGTCTCTGGCCCATGTGGGATCCGAACCGGCAGCCCTGCTACTCAGAGCTTGCGCTCCCAAGCCAACTCTTAACCAACAAGCCACTTGGCCGGCCCCCTTAGTTACTCATTAGAGGCCAAATACAGGTCTCCAAATACAGTCACATTCTAAAGTGCTGGGATTAGGGCTTCAACTTAAGAATTTTGGGGGACACAATTCAGGCCATAACACCCAGGGTCTCAAACTCAAATGCTAATGGGCCAGACAGGTAACATAGATGAGGGAATTGGGCTGGGAAAGACGTGGGCCCTTCATTCTTTTATTTTCCCACTTTTGACATAGGTAAAAGACATGGTAAAATATTTCACTTTCCTCTACTATGTGAAATACAAGAGCAAGGATATTTGTTCATGGCTATGTCCCCAGTTCCTAGAACAAGTGCCTGGCACTTAGTAGGGGCTCGGTAAATATTTGTTGAATGAGCAGAATGGCCCTGGATGTTGGGGAGTGGCAGGGACCATGGTGAATCCTGGCTAAGGGATCAGCTGACAACTCAGGTCTAGTCAATTGTCAGGTTGCCTGGAATCCAGACTTTTATATAAATCTCCATTTTTTCAATATTAGCAACTAATTCACAAAAATTAAAACCACTGCAGATCAGTTTACTGCTCTCTGCTAAGGGCACCCACCTTGAACCAGCATATCAGGCCTCCCCCAGCTCAGCCTGGGGGTGCCATGCTCTTCCTGCAGGGACAGGAAGCTGGAGATGGGGCCTGGGCTCCCCCCACCCCCACCCCACACCACGGCCTGTGGTTACCTCTGCAGGAAGGCGATGCACTGGGCGCCATGGAGAAGCTGTGCCGGCAGCTGACTTACCATCTCAGCCCCCATTCCCAGTGGAGGCGGCACCGGGGGCTGGTGAAGAGGAAGCCGCAGGCCTGGTGAGTCATGGTCACCTGAAGTGTGTTTGCCCTGCGCTCCCTACCCTGACACCCTACCCAGCCTCCTACAAGAGCAGCCCAAATTTAGTCTGTGCCAAGCTGCGTGTGTGCACCGCACCCACTCCCAGGGTAGCGGGGTGGAGGGAAGAAGAGCTGGACCGGAGGGAGTTGTCTTGAAAGGCTGCCTGAAGGAGGGGAGATTGAAAGAGAATTCAGGGGTGAGAGAAAGCAGCCAGGAGGGCATTCCAGGTGGGCATGAGCCGTGAGAGGCACTGGAGGCAGGGCCCTGGTCTGTGCGGCGGGAGCTGGGGGGTACTGGGCCCATTCTGATGGATGGGTGGGAAGGGGGGCATAAGTTTCTAGTTCCTGGTGCACTGAACATGGTCACACTCATGGAACACCCAGCCCCTAGCTCTCCTGGATATCCCCGACGGAACTCAGATCCCAGGCATATCCCTAGCCCATGCAGCAGTGAGGACCCTCAGGGGTTTTGTGGCCCTCTGAAAATTGGGGAAGAGGGGCACATGGGACACAACCTGTGGGCCATGACAGGCGCCTGGAAGGAGGGCTTTCTGGAGGAGGAAGCACCCTGCCTTTCTCGCAAGTGACCATGGGGGCAGAGCACCTTAGGTTCTGCAAGACTGGCAGGGCCTTGATGCTGCCGTGGGCTTATCCTTCCAGGTCCTGCAACGGGGGAGGGAAGGACCACCCCCTCACTGAGAAAAAAGTGCTCTAGCTTCTTTCCCTTCTGGACAACCCCACCTTCTAAACTAGGGGTTGGTGGGTAGGAGATGAATCCTAGGGGAGGCCTTCCCAGGTGGAGAAAGTGAGGGTCCCACTGGGCTGAGGGCAGGGGTGGTATATGGGGACAGAGCATGCCAGGAGGACCCGTGGAACCTGGGATGCCATGAGGAGACTTTGTGAGCCATTTCTTTAGAATTAAAAAGCTGGAAATTTGAGCCCTGCTGGAATGCAGGAGACATTGAGTGAAATGCAAACAGGGCCCTGTGTGATGGGCCCTCAGCCCCTCTCTGGTCTCTCCCCTCCACTCTGTCACTCCCCAGCCACACTGGCCTTCCTGCTGGTTCACAGACACACCAAGCTCTTTCCAGCCTCAGGGCCTTTGCACTTGCACTCCTTCTGCTGGAACTCTTACCAAGCCCTTCTGATGGTTTGCTATTTTCTTTGCATGTCAGCTCAAATGTTAGTTCCTCAGAGAAGCCTTCTCTCAGTAGCCATGCCCCCCAAGCTATTCTCACTTCACTCTCACATTGTCTTGTTTATTGTCTAGCCCCCTTCGGGCAGAATGAAAACAGGGGTCTTACCTATCTTGTTCACCACTGTGGCCTCAGTGCCTAGGGCAGCACGCAGCACCTAATAGGAGCTTAAACACTTGCTGAAGGATTGAACAAGGTACGGGCTATTACTGCTGCCATTTTTTTTTTTTTAAAGATTTTATTGGGGAATTGAAGGAGGGAACAGTGTTGGGGAATCGGGGAAGGGGAACAGGCAAGTTGCTGTCCTTTTGTTCTTCAGTCTAGTTGTGGAGGATGTCGCTTCACTGGCCCATGTTGTTATTGTGATCATTGCGCTCTTCCGGGCTGAGGCAGATCAGTCACTGGCCACTGGACGGCCACTCACAGCGGCTCACAGCAGCTCACGCCAGCTGCTGGCCACTCACGGTAGCTTACGGCAGCCCACTGCAGCCTACGCCGTCACCAGTGACTCATGGTAGCCCAACTCCAGGTCGAGTTGTTGTTCACCGTCTTAGCTGTAGAAAGCACAGCGTCACTGGCCCATGTGGTATCCGAACTGGAAGCCCTGCTGCTCAGAGCTCGCGCTCCCAAGCCAACTAACCAACGAGCCACTCGGCCAGCCCACTGCTGCCATTTGACTAGTCACAATCAGCCACAAGCTAGTGTCAGGGCTAAATTCAAACCCCAGACTCAGGCTGTTAACTACCACACTACCTATTTTTTCTGGTATAACAGGCCTGCTTTATTAATGACATTGATAAGAATTACAGTCAACACTTAAATCACATTAAACAAATGCCAGGCAGTGTTCCAAGCCCTTCGATGTCATGCCTTGAGAGCTTTACCTTCAAACTCCCTGGGGCTGGGCAAGATGAGCAAACTGTGGGCAGCCTTCCAGCTTCAGGAGGTCCTGAGGACAGGGGTTTGCGGAGAGGAAGTCCCAGCTGTGATCCTGCTGGGGCTGCTGCTATTAATGTATGCAGGCTGTGAACACCCCCACCCTCTTCCTTCTCCTTCCCAGGTTGGGGCCTAAGGGCTTGCCTGGGGTACCTGGAAATCGGGAGCTATGGCCCCAGAGAAAGGGGCAGAGGAAGAAAGAAGAGCAGGAGTGGCAGCAGGCAGGGAGTGGGGAGCACTCAGCCTCCAGGAGTCAGCAGCGCCCACGCTCCCCGCCTGCTATCCTGCAGGGCTCTCCCTCAGAATCCCCCTCTGGTGGGGAAGATGGCCTTGAAAAAGGGAGCCTCAGATCCTGCGCCACTCTTGGGAAGCAGGGAGCTTAGCCTGAGTGATTAATTCATTACTCACCTAAACAAGGCACTGTTTTAAATACTTCGCACTTATTAACTGACTTCACATAACAACCCTGTAGCAGCACTCAATTAGCTCAATTTTTCAGGAAAAAAACTGAAGCAGAGAGATTAAGGAACTAACTAAAGGTCACACTGAGTAGGAAGAAAAGGAGTTAAGATGCAAATCCAGGCATTGTGGTGCCAGAGTGAACCCTTAGTCCCTGCGGAAACACTTGTGGTCCATCAGGCTCTGGCCAGCTGGGCCCAGCCAGGCTGAGATGTGAGGTAGGTGCCAGGGGACTATGGAGCCCGGTTTCTTCCCATCCCTGGAGAAGAGGCCAGCTCCATGGTGGTGTCACTGCTGCCTCTGGAGAAAAGGCCTGCCCACTTGCTTGAACCTTGCTTGTTCCTTCTCCCCTCCAGCCTCAAGGCTGTCCTGGCGGGGAGCCCTCTGGACAACACGGTGGACCTGTCGGGCATCCCGCTGACCTCCCGTGACCTGGAGCGGGTGAGCAGCTACCTGCAGCGATGTGGGGAGCAGGTGGACAGTGTGGAGCTGGGCTTCACAGGCCTCACAGATGACATGGTCCTACAGCTACTGCCGGCACTCAGCACACTGCCCCACCTCACCACACTGGCCCTCAATGGCAACCGGCTGACTCGAGCCCTGCTGCGTGACCTTACCGACACCCTTAAGGATCCCAGCAAGTTTCCCAACGTCACGTGGATTGACCTAGGCAATAATGTGGACATCTTCTCATTGCCCCAGCCCTTCCTGCTCAGCCTGCGCAAGCGCTCCCCAAAGCAGGGCCACCTACCCACCATCCTGGAGCTGGGCGAAGGCCCAGGCAGTGGGGAGGAGGTCCAGGATGGGACAGTGGGTCAGGAGGACCCTGGATGGGACCTTCTGGCTCCTGCCAAAGACCAGGAGGGCAGGGAGACTGCAGCTGCAGCTCAGACGTGACATGGAAGTGGGGCCCTCACCAGGGAGTCTCTGGGGTAGGATGGCTTGAGGCAGACTAGGGGCTACCAGGAGGCTCAGGCTATAACCCAATACTGGCCTGAGCAGCCCCACCCACGGGAAGCCCAGAGTGTAGCACCTGCAAGAGGGGGATTGTGTAATACTTCACTCCACTTCCCCCCTTGTCAACTCATTATCTGCCTTCTGGCTCCTGAGAAGTCATCCCTGGCTCTGGACATCAGCCCTCAGCCTCCCCAGAATTAAGAGTACAGCGCATAGGTTACTGATGCTGGAAGTTTGAGCTGTGAATGGTATGTGTGAGCTCTACTCCAGAAAAGGGTGTAGTTGGGGCCATACATACAACCCAGGACTTTGAAATCTGTGCTCCTGTACAAGTCAGGTTGTAATCTTCCTACCCTAACTCCTGGCTGAAGGAGGTTGGGATAGGCGGATGGGCTGCCAGACTCCAGAAGCCTGGTCTCCACGTGGACTGAAGGCTGTCTACCTCTTTGTGGAGCCCTGGGCTCCTGTTAAGTGACTTCCCTCAAACCCATAATTCCAGGGGCCTATCCATGGAACCAACACCCCTATCAACACACAGCATCCTAGGATGTCTGGGTCAGATGGTACCCACACAGGTATGCAGATAGGCCTACTCAAACCCCACCATTCCCCTGCCCCAGTCTATCAAACTTTAACATGGATTCCACTGTTGCTTGTGTATAGGCTTCCTTTTATAAAGAGTTAAGGACCCCTTTCCCATAAAATTCCTTCTAAGCTCCTCCAATAAGCCTTGATACTTTGAGCATTCACAAAACCAACTTGAATTAGGATGAGGTTGACAGTACTTTCTACACACTTGGCAGATTTAGTGCCTCAAGAAAGGTGGAAGAACTGGGAGTAAGCAAGGTTTTAACTCTCCCTTACCCAAGGCCTACCAGTTTAAAACAATCCCTCCTAGGCACGATAAGCAAGACCTAGACCCAGGAATACACAGCAAGTCCATAGAGGTTGGGAACCAATCTTGAGGCAGAGAAAAATCACTTCCAGTGCCTGAAGGTGGTGAACCTCAGGCAAACAGAAAACTGGAAACAGCCTGACAGGCCTCTAAGTAGGCAAAATCCCAACACAGGAAGGCAGCAAGACTGGGGTCTTGCCTGTCACTGCTTAAGGATTTGGCGAGGCAAGCAGGCCAGAGGGAACAGGGACCAGACTCAAGTGTATGGATGCCTTAAATTCTTTGGAATTTTTGCCCCCCAAATCTGAAGTTATGGAGAGGACAGCTTAAGACTGACCTTAGGGAAATTGATAAGTGCTAATACCTGGACTGCTAATATTTGACAGCAGTGGATCAAATATTTTTTTCTTCAAATACATTTTTAAGAACCAATACCAAAGACCATCTTTTATTACAATGTTAGTTTATGGTAATGCATGGAGATAATTTCAGGAATGTTTCCAGCTTAATTCAGACCCTTGCCCAATATAACAGATTTACATAACATTAAAATATACATTACATACAGGTGCTCCTTTTGAGCAAGGGATAATACTAGAAAGCTCATGAATTTAATGACCCAAAAGTGGCTGTCCTAGAAAATGTTTGCCATGTTCCTTTCTCGGCGCTATGTTGGTAAGATGGCCTGTTGATATCGGCTTAAGTTGAACATGTTTCTACACCAAAAGTTGAAGCTTTGGTTTTCAGAGTCCAAGTTGATGGTGGCTACTGGTCCTTGGGACTTCAAAACTCTGCCCCTGTGGTAGCATAGCTGACCATTCTCTGGGAAATTAGCCTGCAAAGAAACTAAGTATCAGTCTTACTTTCTACTGCAAACAAGTCATTCACAGTATAAAAGATATCTTCAGAAAACCTTTGGTTCACCACTACACAATCTGCCGGTAATTCCAGCTATTTTGGGTGATTTCATCATTTGATATCCTTTTCTGCGTATCAATTTTAACAAAACTAGCTGTTCATTCATTCTACCATGGGGGCAGCCATTATCCAGATCAAATCTTACCTCTTTTCTCAGGTGAGCTGCTGCTGCCACTGCCACCCCCACCAGCTTTGAAACTGCACTGATCAGCCTTCAGCACTCAAAACCTGGGGGAACGAATAAAGCACCTGTAGACAGACAGCAAATGCTAAAGAACTGGAGGCAGTTCTGATCATAGATTCAACTACAAATCTACATCCATCCTAACAAGAGTCCTTAAGAACTTAGTCATAATTGGCTTCTTGGGTGTTTGTAACCATTTAGTCACAGCATTTTAAACATCACAAACCTTAGACTCACTTTTAAGGATGAGGAAAACTACATCTGAGAGCAGACAGGCAATTTGCTCAGGATTATACAGCCATAAGGTAAAAAGGAACTCCTGAGTTTGCTCTGCATTCTGCTCCACTGCCAGTATCTGACCTAATAGCAATTTCACATAATTCAACTTAACACCTAAGTATCCTCAACCATAAATCGCTCTGCAGACCAAAGCTTACCTCTCGCCAGGCCAGTGCTCCCCACTCCAAAACTCAGCTGTTGAAGGGTTGCCAGTCCCTCGCTAACTTGCAACCTGAGTGAATATAGAAATTAAGGGTCAGTTCAGAGCAACTTACTCCTGGCACCAGCAACCTGTGAAGACTTGTTGACTGCAGTCAGCCAGGCATTGTTATCGTCAGTTATCGCTTCTGACGGCACTTCCTATTAGTGATTTCATCAGAGCAGTCAAGCACCTCGCCGCTCCCAGTACTGCTCCAGAGCCCTGGATATCAACTGGAATTAAGCTAAATGTTGCCTTAAAAACAGCCAGAGGACATTTTAATAGAATTTGTTTAGGCACACAGCTGCAGTTTAAATAGTTTCAGGTTAAGAGCAGCCACTTCCTGGCCATTGCAATAATGCAAGTAGTGCATAATTACGTTAAATACGTAAAAACTACAACTATACATCAGGCAACTTCAAAGCATTTAAAGTAACAAACGATACAGCTAAGTTCCGTGTAAAGCCCTACCCAGACTAGGCCTTACCTCAGGGTGGGATGCTGCCCCCAACTTCGATACTCTGCAGTGGGTCTGCCACCTGAAATATGAAAGATGAACGTGCATTTAGGGCAGATTCTGGTAGTTATATGCAACTAAACTTAGGGTTTCAGCGACTGCGGTCAGATTGGCATAAAAATCGTCAGTTATCGCATCTGACGGCACTTCCTAATAGTATCATCAGGACAGTCGAGCAAGTTCTCCTTGTGGTCCCATTACGATCCTCACCCACGTGCAGCGCCCTCCGGTGCAGGTTAGACCCCGGCTTACCCCATTTTCTCGGATTTGCTCATTCCAAACGGCGAGCGCCTAGAAAAGGGTCCCGGCCTTCGGGGATCTCCAGAGAGCGGCGGGCCTGTAAGACAAACCCGCACGCGGTCCATGAGCCTCCGCCCACTGCGGCCCCGGCAGCGCAACGCGGCCCTACCAGTCTCTAAGATCTAGCCACAGCGCCCGCCCGGAGGCCGACGTGGGCGAAGCCGCCCTCCAGTTAAGCTTCCCGAAAACATCCTCCAAAAACTGGAAAGGCACTAGTTCATTTGCCTTTGCCACCAGCTACCAGAGCCAGATGCAAACACAACTTACCTCCATAGCAGCTATAGTGAAAAGGCTGCGTCTACTGTGTCTCAGGCCCTTAAAGAGTTGGAACATTCCACTCTTCACAGAAGGGAGGGTGATACTGACAAAGACGGGAACGTCCACCTCACTTAATACAGGCTCCACGCCACCCAAGGACTCCCCCCTACTTTAGAGCTGATGGTCTCTTCCATTGCCTAGGAATTCTGGGTCACAAGCGCTCGGCGACGTGAGAGGGCGCCTGCGCTGGGGCTACACCGAGGCTGTTGCGTGCAAGTCCTGCTCTTGTGGCTGCTGCTTTGCGTGACCTTGAGGCAATTATTCATCCGTTGTGAGCTTCCGGCTGCTCATCTGGAAAAGGAAGATGACGGCGCCACAGAAGGCTGTTCTGAGAATCACATGAGATAATGTACTTAAAACCCCGCAGAGCCTTGGCTCGGCAGTAGCTGCTCCTAATTCTAAGAAGCGTTGCCAGTCTGCTGTCTCCCCACACATATTTCAAAATATCCACGGAGCCTCTCAACCCTTGCGCACTGACAGCCCTCACCTCCTATTTAAAATGACCTCTGAGGAGCGAGCCACCATTCCTCCTCTGATTATCCCAGGCTTCTCCATCCATGCCCCTGTCTCACCAACAGTGGAAACCTCTCCCTCCCTGCTAATGCTTTCCTTTCAGCATATGAACATGCTCAGGTCTTTTCCACTTAAAAAAAAAAAATGCAATCCATGAATATACATTTTATAAACACATTACCCGAAGGGACAGCAATTCGTTTTGACTGGAGTAAATTGGAAAAGCTATAATATGACAATTTTTGAGCTGATCTAAAAATAAGTGTAAGATGGGTCAGACACGCAGGAGGTCCATCAGCCTGCATGAAGAATTTTGTGAAAGTGCTAAGGACAACATGGGGGCAGCAGGGATGTGGGAGAAAAGGTGTCTGGAAATGCTTGGGCAAAACCTCAGAGGGCTGGGGATGCCAGCTAGTGCATCCTGTGGGCACTGGGGGTGGGGATGGGGGCTCTCAAGCCTTCAGAGCACAGAGGTACCGTGCTTTTTTTGGGTCTTAGGCCCCTCTGGCTGCCCTGCAGAGGATGGCTTACAGGGGTGGAAACTGCGGGAAGCCCAATGGGGAGAGAAAGCAATAATTCAGAGTCTGAACTAAGCCAAGGAGGTCAAAGGCTTTGAGAGGCATCTTTGAGGTGGCTTTAAGGGGTGCCTGGAGACTGTGGGGGAGGGAGGAGCGGTGGCTGTGTTTTCCCATGTCCACCACCATGTCTGCCATGAGAACAGGCACAGCACCTCAGCCAGCTACCTGAACCCAGGAAGAAGACAGTCTCGAGACTGGGGGGCAGCAGTTGAGGGTCTCCTGTGCCCAGGCCAGGGCGGGAGCAGTCCAGCCTGACACAGGCTTGTGCTCACAGAGTCATGCAGATGTTGACCAGCCCGAGGGCCTGGTAACTGCTCATATAATGTTTCCAGGAGAGTCAGTCATGAGAAAATATTTATTTATATTTGCCATTAAAGTTCCCTGGAGCCAGAGCCAGCAGGCAGAGCTGGAAATATTCCCTGGTTCTGTCCTGCCTGCCTCCTGCTGCGTCTGGCCCATCAGTGGGACTCCAGGGGCTGGAGGGGCAGATGGTCTTCCTCCAAGGCACTGTCCTCCCCGGGCTGGGCAGGGTTCTTCACGGTGCCTGTAAATGGGATGAAAAGCACTGTGACTTGGTCCTTGGGTGTGTCCCCAGGAGGCAAGTGCTAGGGAAACAGGAGGAGGCCATAGCCATGAAACAGGACATCATGACCTGTGGACAGCAGGATTCTGAAGTCCCCAGCAATCCCTCTCTCTGCCTCCCTTCTTCCGCAAGCATTTCCTGAACTCCTGCCTTGTGTCAGTGAAGGGCCTCCTCCTAGGAGCTTCAAGTCTCTAGAGGTGACAGGCTTCTGTATTAGAAACCAGAACACCTGAGATTTGCTGAAAAGCTGGAGGGAAGTGAGAGTTAGGTGTTCAGAGAGTTCATAGGAGAGAGGGGACCCAATCCATAGAGGAGGTGTCAGATTTGGACACCCAGAGGAGCAGGAAGGGCATTTGCAGCAGAGACAAGAGCCAAGGAAAGCAAAGAACAAGAAGCACTGTAGACAGACTGGCTGTCACATGGAGGGAGGTGTGGGGAATGGGTTGGACAACAGTTTTGGTTCTTCACCTCCACACTGATGAGTATGGCCTTCCAGGCAGTGGGAGGCATATTGTAGTAAAGACTGTGTGTAGTTTTGTCTACATAGAGGAATTGGAGTGGGATAAACCTGGAGCAGAAAGACTTGTCTGGAGGTCAGGGTGCAGGCTGAGCAGCCCTGCAGAATCAGGAGAAATGAGGGGCGAGGGCAGAGGAACCAAGTGGCTGCTCAGGCAATCTGGAGGACACTCAGCATCAGACAGAGGATGTGGGGGCAGAAACCATGAAGGCCTCCCCATTGGGGGAGGAGGGGGGGTTACGTACATGTTATCTGGCGGAGCAGCCCCAAGGCTGTTCCTGTTGGGGGTGTTCAGTTGGAGGCCCCAGGAGGCAGTGGGGTGTGGGATTGGGGTGTGGAAAGCTTGGGGCAAGAGGAGGAACAAGGTGACTTTCAGAGTCTTGGCAGTGAAGTGATGGGGCAGCAGAACTCAGAATTAAGGGAGACACATAGAGAGGGTAGGCAGGAAACATAGGTTTGTGAGGGCCTTGGTTAGGGACCCAGGAGCCTGGGAAACCAGTAGGCTTTGGAGCAGGAGGCCAGGGGAGTTCCCCTGCACAGCAGTCATGGGTGACACAGGAGGCTGTGGTAGGAGGGGTAGGGGCTATAGGCACAAGCAAGTGGAGTCTGTTCGATAGTGAATGAAAAAGGAGGGGAGGAGAGCTAACGGAAGATGTGGACGGTAAGGTAGAAGCTATTGAAGGTTCCAGAAATGGCATGCTGTGGAGAGAGCTAATCCTTGGAATAGGCACCACTCTTGGTGGGAAGCAGCAGGGTGGGGATAGGAGGGGCCATTGCCACACTATGCCATATTAATGGAGAAGATGCAGGCCATGAGAGGTGGGAAAGGCACAGGAAGTGCCTTCCCCTCAGAGATGTGGGAGCTGGAGTTGGGAAGAGGCTGGGGGCTCGTGCAGTGGGGAAAGCTGAGGTGCTCAAGTTAACAAGGCTGACCAGGACACAGCCAGTGGGGGCTCGGGGAGATGCCACTTAAGCTATGGGCTGGGTAGGGGGCCCTCCCTAAGTTGGGTCTCCAGGCTCAGCCCAGGACTGGCACTTGAATGGGCAAAGGGTGCAGTGGATTAGAACCTGCCAGGAGGTGGGGATGGGGATGAGGAGGCAGGAAGTAGGACAGGATGAAGGCTGGGCTGGTGAAAGTACTAACAGCTTCAGAGGTCTTCCCAGGTGACTGCCTGAAAACAGGCCAGCTAAGAGGTGAGGGTGGAAAAGACTGGAAGGAAGCACCACTTTAAGGTGGTCAATCCTTTTAAATGAGTGGAGCTGGGGAGTGACCACAGCAGAGATCCTGCCCCAGACTCTCCGTGGCTGTGTGGTCAAGCAGGCAGACAGATGGACACACACACACACGCACACAAACACGTGCACACACACTCTGCCTCTCACCAAGGCTACTCACCAGCGACGCCTGGCCCTGAAGGCTCCTCACACACCGTAGGCAGCGTCTTCTCCCAGGCAGCCCAGTTCACTTCCTCCACCCTGAGGACGACAGAGCAGCTCTGAGGCTACAGGATGCCAATGGTGCAGCCTCCTTTGCTCCAGGAGAAGGGCCCCAGCTCCCGAGTGGGTGGACTAAGCAGACATTCCAGTGAACAAAGGGACTGCAAGGAGGTGGGGTTTCTCTGCCCTCCTCCACAGGACACTGGGCCACCCACTATCCCCCCTGAGCCCTATCCTTGCAGCTATCAGCCTGCTGCCCTCTGGGCCAGGTGCCCACATGGAAGAACAGGCATCTGTTCCCTTCAGACTGTTCACAGTGACCTGAGGTTTCCTAAACATCCAGAGAAGAGTTCCAATCAGGTGTGCCTTTGTGTTCTTGCGTTCTGGGGCCTTATGTGGCTACTCTCTACATGCCTAAGACCCTCCCTTCTCCTTGCTTAACTGTTGCCTCATGAAAATGTGTTTCTAGCTGTGCATCTGTCACCGGGTTTCCTCTCTCAGTACCCATGCCTTCCCTGGCCATGGAACAGTTTGTTCTCTGTGGAAGGGTTGTAGCCTCCGTGGCCAGGTGGGCGAGTTGGGAGGGCAGAGCAGACCAGCCAGGGCAAGACAGTGTGCTATAACCTGAGGGTCCCTCTGGCTTCTTGGCCCCCTAACTGTACCCCGTTTCAGGCCAGAAGGATAGTCCAGGGGCCACCAGGGAGGGACCTTCATTTTCAGCCAGTGGGACAGGCAAATGGGCAGACAGGTAGAGCACCAGGCAGTGACAACCCCAGGCCTATGAGATCCAGCATCCCTGGCTTCACCTGTAATGGGGGGGCGGGGGAGGGCAGAGTCCCCAGCACTCCTAAACCCTGCCTTTCCCAGCAGCCCTGGGTCCTGGCAGTGGTCCCCTGGTTTTCAGAAGACTAAGGCTGGTGGCACCAGCTGCTCTCCCCTGCCATCTCACTCACCTGAAACACCAACGCTCATCGGGGCTTCCATCCGGCCTGGTGCCAACTGTCAGCATTGCACCTGCCCGCTGCTTCTTCCTCTTGCACCACCAGTAGCCATTCTCCATCTCCAGGACTGAGATGGCTTTCTGGGGACAAAGGACATGTCAGACAGGGCAGCCAGGAAGATGCAACACAGCACTTTCCATTATAACCCAAAGTCCATTAAGCACATGGATTGGAATCCACTCCAACTTTTGATGACTTATGTGGTGTGAGGCCCTGAGGCCCTCTGAATCTCAGTTTCCTCACTTAAAGACTGAGACACTGTGTCTGGTAGTTCGGGAGAAGCCAGCAAGTAAAGAGTGCTCAGCAATTACTTGCTGTTGCATCATTATAGGTTCCAGGATTTCATGCCACCTGGTGCAGATATTCATTTGCTCTACCCCACACATGTGCCTGCCTGCTGGCACACGAGCTAGGAAGGCCACAGAACTTTGCAGGTGAGGACTCGGAGGCTCAAAGAAGACAGGGGCTAGCCCAAGGTCAACAGTGAATTGGTAACACACTCAGCCTTCTGGGCAAAGTTCTCCCTGCACCAACTGCCCAGACCTACCCCCCACCCTTCCCACGTCAAGAAGCAGCTCTTGCTTCCACTGTAGGTGGGTGTCATATCAGCCCCCAGCTTCAGGGACCTCTAGTCCCCCAACTCCTGCAAGGTGGGCCAGGCACAGGATTGCACACCTGCCTGCCTCGCCCACCACACTGCCCCCGTTTAACATACGATGAACACAGAATGGGAGCTCTATGAGGCAGACTTTGTTTTTTCTCTGCTGTGTACTTAGAACCTAGAACTGTGCCTAGCCCCATTGCAGGCACTCAAGAAATACTTAATAATAATGATGCTGATAATAACTAACACACTGAACACCCACTGTGTGCCACACACTGTCCTAATAAGATGTAAGCTTATTAGATCCTCACAGCAACCCTATGAAGGAAGGAGTGGCTGATGGAGACCCTGAAAGGGTGAGGACTGGCTCCAGGGGCCCAGCTCAGCTGAGTCCCGCCCACGCCTCACTGGGCCCAGAACTCAGGGAGGTGGAGAGGAGCTTCCCGGGGCACCTGCAGCTTCCAGATGCTCCAGCTGTCAGTGGCGACGCTGTTGACAGTCTCGCTCATGAGGGCGATGAGCATGTTGAGCAGCAGGACGTAGGTGAGCAGCACGTAGGCCAGCAGCAGCAGCAGCACCACCCCGCGGAAGCGCAGCTGGTTCTGGAACTCCAGCTCACCCATGCCGATGGTGAACTTGAAGAGCTCCAAGGCGGCATCCAGGATGCCGTTGTACGGGGCCGAGCTATCCTTCTCACCTTCCTGGCCTGCCCGGGGCTGCACTGCCTTTGTGGCATTGGGGTGTGTGGGGACCCCGGGACCCCAGGCCTCACGGCTCAGACTCTCCAGGGCTGCAGGGGAATAGAAGGGAGTCCTCATCCAGGGGAGATCAACAGGCAGACTTGAGGGAGTACAGGGTGGGCCAGGGTTGGGCAGGGGTCACAGGGAGGGCTTTTACCTACAGCGAAGCCGAAGAGGAAGACTAAGTAGACCAGAAGGAAGCGGAGCAGGTCCCGCAGGATGACCTATAACACACGTGCCCAGGGGTGGGTGGCTGGGCCACCAGACATGACCCCGTACCTCTTCCTTGACCCTGAGCATGGGTTTCCATGTACACCCCACCCCCTCCACACACACAAACATGTGCATACAATGGGCCCTATGGAGCTACACTGAGCTGAAGGGTCTTTAAAAAATCTACATGAGATCACACAATTTTCTTGCTTGAAACACTCCAGGGTCAAAAAATTAAACACAGAGTTACCATATGATCCAGCAATTCCACATCTGGATATATACCCAAAAGAATTAGAAGCAGGAACTCAAACAGATATTTATATACCCATGTTCATAGTAGCATTATCCATAATAGTCAAAAGGTGGAAGCAACCCAAGTGTCCACTGATGGATGAATAGATAAACAAAATGTAGTATATCCATACAATGGAATATTATTCAGTCTCAAAAAGGAAGGAAATTCTGACACATGTTACAACATGGATGAACCTGGAGGATATTATGCTAAGTGAAATAAGCCAGTGACAAAGGAACAAAACTGTATGATTACATTTTTATGAGGTACTTAGAGTAATCAGATTCATAGAGACAGAAAGTACAGTGATGGTTGCCAGGGACTGGGGAAAGGGGGAGGGAATAGGGAGTTAGCTTCGAAGGGGTACAGAGTTCCAGTCTGGAAAGATGAAAAAGTTCTGGAGATGGATGGTGGGGATGGTGACATAACAATGTGAATGTACACTTAAAAATGGCTAAAATGGTAAATTTTGTTATATATGTTTTTCCACAATTAAAAAAAATTCTTAGAGGGCCAGCCAAATGGCTCAGTTGGTTAAGAGCTTGCTCAAGAGTGCGAGCTCTGAGCAACAGGGCCACTGGTTTGATTCCCACATGGGTCAGTGAGCTGCACCTGAGCTGAGCTGCCAACAGGTGGCAGGATGGCTCAGCTGGTGAGAGCACGTGCTCCTAACAGCAAGGTTGCCTGTTTGAGATGGTGGGCTACGTCCACCTGCAACTAATGACTGAACTCGGCACCTTGAGCTGAGCTGCCGCCTGGGTGGCTCAGGGGATAGAGGGTGCACTCTTAACAACGAGGCTGCTGGTTCGACTCCTGCATGGGATGGTGGCTAGGCCCACCCACAACTAATTGAACACAGTACCTTCAACTGAGCGGTGTGACTGGACTTGGAGCTGAGCTTGCTGCGCCCTCTACACTAAGATTGAAGGACAACAACTTGGCTCTTCCCCTTCCCTGATTTCCCCAACACTGTTCTGCTCCCCCAATTCCCCAATAAAATCTTGAAAAAGAAAAAAAAAATGGGTTTAAAAAAAAATTTTTTTTTAAACCTTCTGGACCTCTAGATCCGCCTCTCTCTCCCTCACTCTCCCCAGCCTCCTCACTCTGTCTCAAGCACTCCAACCTTGTTCTGCTCCTGGCCTTTTTCTTTGCTGTTCCCTTTGCCTCAAATGCTTCTTTCTTGAGTCTGTGCTGAATCACTCTTTCAGGCCTTAACTGTTCACTTCAAAGAGGCCTTGCAGACCACCCTATCTGAAGCACCCTTTGCCCAGTCACCCTCCATCACATTGTGCTATGTATTTCCTTCACAGTATTTGGCAGTCTGGAACATTTACATTTGTTTTCTTAGTGTTTTCATTTCCCCTACTAGAATGTCAGCTTCAAAAGAGCAAGGCCTTGTCTATTTTGTTAGTGAACAACACTTAGAATAGGGCCTGACCCATAGTACGTACTTCCTAAACATTTGTTGAATAAATAAATGAATGCAGACACATCCATATGCCCAGATGTCCCATGGCACAGGCACACAGGTGAGCTTGTGTGCATTGTCTCTGCTCCTTTGGCGTGCAAGGATGCATGTGGCTCCCGTGTGGGCACTTGCAAACATACGTGCAAGTGCTTGCTTACACATGCAGAGTGAGAGCAGGTGTGTGCACACTCACACTCATGCTTACATTCAGCAAGTATCTGGGTGCGTGATGCACAGGCAGACATGCTCATGTTCTCCTCTGCCCAGGTTAGCTGTGGAAGGTGCCTGCCTGCTGAGGCCCAAAGGAATCCCACTCGAGTATGGGATCTAGCCATGGCCAGTCTGGCTGCAGTGGGGCAACCCCTGCCTCTCACCTTCTGGATCATGACACTGTAGATGCCTGTGTGCTGGAAGCCACGTGTATAGTAAAGCAGGTTCAGCCAGCCCAGCGCCAGTGAGGACACAAGCAAGGGCAGGTACCACTCGATGGCCAGGAAACACAGCACCTGAGAGAGCACCGTGAGCAGGGCCTGGACCAAGCTGTATGGGGGCAGAGTCCGAGTCAGCTGCAGGCCACTTGGCAAGGCCCCCTGGCTCCCACTGGCCAGCGCTAACCACCACTGCCTCTCCCATGACAGTCTGGATTAGAAGTCCTCCACCTGTCTGGACCCAGTCAGGTCCTGACCTCCATCCCAGGCAAATTATTTAACCCCTGTGGGCCTCAGTTCCCTCCCCTGTAATACAGGGGTAATAGTAACCGTGCCTGAGCATTTGTGAGGATTCAACAAGACAAGACATGTAAAGAGTTCAGGCTCCACAGGTGCATAGCAAGAGCTCGGTGAATGATCTACAACGGTGGGAGTATAGCAAGCCCCAGGCTGGACAGTCGGACTCCTGAGTCTGGCCTGTGCTCTGGTTCCAATCCCTTGGAGCTCCCTGGCCCTGGGTCCTCCCCGCTAAAGCCTGCCTGGTGTTCTCTGCCTGAGCTGAAGGAAGAGGAGTGAGGCCTCACGTACAACAGGATTTCAAAGTAGCTGTCCATGAACGAGATCCAGATGAACAGACGGCGTCTCCAGAAGCACCACAGCTGCAGCAGGAGGAAGGACAGGGAAGTGAAATTGGTTTTCCAGGTCACAACAGCAGCCCTGCTGCCCCTCGGGGCCTGAGCCCAGCCTCCCACCATGCTCCCTGCGTGCTGGCCATGTGGGAGCTTGGCCAGGACCACATTGGGGGCTCTGGCAGCAGCTTTAACTTTTTGGAGGGGTTCATGAATTTTGCTGATGGCTAACAAAGGTTTGGACCCTGTTTCCAAAACATTTGGACCCTGTCTGTAGCAACCCACAGACACCCAGGTAACGCCAGGGGCCTCCTGGCTCCTTGTGGACCCAAATGAAGAACCCATGCACTACATATGATGAGGGGAAGAGCGCATTCCCTCACTCTCCCTGCCTCCCAGGGACCACCCTGTACACCAGCCAACCTGGATTTGGTGCCCAGGTTCTGCCCCTTCTGAGAAAGTCTCAGTGCCATGGCCCGGCCCGTCTCCTGCAAGCTTGCAGCATTTTCAACTGAAGAGGTCCTGCTGGGGGTGCTGGGCTGAGCCCCACCTGCCCCCACTCTTCTGTGCTCCCTAGGTGAGGAATGCCCCAGCCCAGGGACCTGGAGGGGGCTTTTAGCTCGAGTCCCTGGGAGCAGAGCTGACACTGCCAAGGACTCATAGGAGCCATTTTCTACCCTGTGAACACCTCAGAAAGCATAGCAGGGAGAGTACCCAGCCCCAGAAGGCAAAGCCTTCAACTGCGAGGAGGCAGGTCAGGGTTCAGCTATCGGATTTGGTGTCCCCATAAATGAAGGGACTGTGGTTAACTCACTCTGAGGCTCCTTGTAGTTCTAGGTTTGCTCCTGGGGGGCTGGGAGCCAAGTGGAGTGTGTGTGTGTGGAGGGGGAAGCGAGGGAGCTTGGGAGGAGCACTTACCTGGCCTATGAGGAGGTAGATGCCCCCAAGCAGGATCAGGATGTGGCCTAGCAACAACAGGGAGTTTCCAGCTGTCACTTTCACGGAGAAGACGGCCTGTGAAGAGATACTTGGGTAGGACCTAGGGTCCCCACCAACAGCGCACCTTCTGAGAGCCAGAGCCGAGGGCCCATTCTAAGCCTGAGCTGTGGGGAGGCCACTCGAAGCAGCAGAGGGAACATGGGCTCCGGGGCAGGACCCCTGGATTCTAGTATATTGAGAGGCACAGTGCATAGCAGTTGGGAGCAAGGGGTTGGGAGCCAGACTGGGTTCAGATCTCATCTCCACCACTAACAGCCTGTGTGACCCTGGGTAAATTACTTAACCTATCTGTGCCTCCTTTCTCTAACTGTAAACTGGGGATGATAATAGTTCATCATCTCAGAGGGTTGTTGTGAACATGAATTAAATAAGTTAATACATGTCAATCACTTAGAATACTTCATCATATATGGTGTGCACTAAGTATTGATTATTACTGTTGTTCTTCCTGTGGTGCTGGCATCCACACTATCACCAGCTGGGTAAGAGCTTGGGCATATCACTCAAGCAGTCAAACCCTCAGCATCAGAATTTGCAGGGTGGAAGTGGTAATCCCTGCCCCAGCTTCTCTCTGGACTGGTTCCAGGAGGCCTCCCCAGGATGTGCCCCGCCTCCCCTGGCCTGGCCTTGCCTTCTCCAGGGCAGGCTGGTGGTAGGTAACAGCAGTGAAGATGAACATGTAGACCAAGTAACACAGGAAGTTGAAGAAGAACCTGGGGATGAGCAGGTCCCATTTCGCCTGCAGCAGTTTGTTCAGCGGCTCCAAAACCACCATTCGGTGTCGGTGCTGGGGTGGAAATGTGCGAGTCAGGGTCCATTCATCAGGTATGCATAGGGGCCCACTCATGCTGGCCTCAATGCAAGGGCCAAGAGAGGGAATGGAGGGGAGAGGATGGGGAGCCCCATGTGACCCCTCCCCACCTGCCCCCACCACACTGTCATGGCTAAGGAGTGACCCAGGGCCTCTCCTTCCGGTCCAGAGCAGGTGCTGGCCAACAAGAAGCCCTCAGTGGTAGCCACCAGGACCCTGATATGATCTCCACTCGAGTAAGACAGGAGTGTGGAATGAGTGTGGGCCCAACAGCTGGAGTCAGGATGTGCAGCCACACCCCCACTGGCACAGGAATGGAGCAGGTGTGGTCCAGCAGACAGTCTGAGTTGTGGACCTTGCAGAGAGCTCTGCCAGGCCCCCTCCATTCACCCCCACCCCTGCAGGCTCACCGGGCTTCTGCAATGAAAGGCGATGACTTCCAGCACTGAGTTCTCCTCCCAGCTGTCCACAGAGGCCAGGTCATACAGTGACACCCGCACAGGCCCGTAGGACCACTCAGTGAACTTGCGGGAAAAGGGCTGGTACGGTCCCGAGAACTCCCGTTGCAAGATGTGTCTGAAAATCTGCAGGGCAGGCCACGTGAACTTGGGTGCTTGACCACCTACCAGCACTGACTGGGTATCTGGGAAACACTCAGTACCCAACATAGCTGCCCACTGTCTGCAGAGCTGCAGCAAACACATGCACACACCCTGTACAGGCAGGTCCTTGTGTGTATAAACATGCTCAGCCACAGTGTAAACATTCCTACCAGCCCACATATGTCCAGGTCTGCCAGTCAGCATGGCTCTGCCTTCCCCACTCCTGCCCCTTGGCCTCTTGCGTGGCCACATGGCAGAGGGCTCTCCAGCCCAGAGGTCCTTAAGGACTCTTGAGATCAGAGGCTACCAGCTGCCCACAGCAGTCAGAGTCCAGAGTTTTCAACAGATCAGAAAGGGTCATTAACCCAAACAGGTGAAGAAGTAATTTGGTTTCACAAATGAGGACTGGTGGGGAAGGGAGGACCAGGTTGGGGAGCGGCCTCCATAGGCCATACAGCCATCCTCCAGACAACAAAGAGAGGTTCCCACATACCAGGAATCTTGGAGGGCAGGAATAAAACAGCAAAACTTCTACTTATGTTTATTGTTATCTTAGCCTTCAGAAATACCTGAATTTTAAGCATAGGGCCCTGTGTAAATTGCACGGGTGTGCACGCATGAAGCCAGCCCTGGTAGTAAGGATCAGACAACTGGTAAGCCATTTGGAAAAAGGGTAGAGCTGGATCGTGTTTACTATTTAGACCAAAATGACTTCCAGGTAAATAAAATTTTTAGGCATTAAAAATGAAACTGCAAAAGTCTGGAAGAAAATAAGGATATGGAATAAACACACACAAAATGGTATAGATATATATTCTCGTAGAAGGATTAAGCAATGGCAAAACCAAGGAACCCTAAAGGGAAAGATAATTACATTCATATACATAAAAATTTAACAATTCTGTGTGGCAAAAAAATACCATAAAAGTTATTTTAATTTGAACTGGGAGAAAAGTTCGGAACTGCTATAGTAAACAAAATGCTAATATGTTCATTATAAAGAATACTTACCGATCAAGATGAAGAAAACTTAATAGCAAATTTAATAGCAGAATAGGCAAGTATATGAAAAGACTGTCTCCCAATCAAGAAACCGAAATGACTTTTTAAAAAAATCCCTGTGTTGGGCCGGCCGAGTGGCTCAGTTGGTTAAGAGCTGGCTTGGGACGCCAGAGGGCCCCGGTTTGGATCCCACATATGAGGGCCAGTGAACACTGCCCTCCACAGCTAAGATCCTGAACAACAGCTCAACCTGGAGCTGGGCTGCCATGAGTCGCTGGCGACGGCGTAGGCTGCAGTCCCTGTGGCAGTGGGTTGCCATGGGCTACCGTGTGTAGCCAGCAGCCAGTGTGAGCGGCCAGCAGCCGCAGTGAGCGGCCAGCAGCCGCAGTGAGCGGCCGTCCAGAAGCCGGCGACTGATCTGCCTCGCCCTGGAAGAGCGCAGTGATGGTGCCAACTTGGGCAAGTGAAGCAACGTCCTCCACAACTAGATTGAAGAACAAGACGACAGCGACTTGTCTGTTCCCCTTCCCCAATCCCCCAGCACTGTTCCCATCCCCCCAATTCCCCAATAAAAAAAAAATCTTTAAAAAAAAATCCCTGTGTTTTAAATGTAATATATTAGTTCAGATATAATTTATCAATAAATACACACATGCATGCTGAAAACGTTCTTACTAATAGGAGTGTTCAGTTGAAAAGTGGGGAAACCGATCTAGACCACCACCTCAGGCTCTTTCTATAGAGATCTCAGGGTGAGTCCTGCTGCTTCTTGGGGAAGAGAAGGAAACCAGCCACTCACCTCGATTTTGCCTTCCTTGGCGGCCAGCTTCAGGGGCGTGAGGCCCTGCAGGTTGGGGATGTCCTCAAGCTGCACGGTGGGGCAGAGGCTGGCCCCAGCTTGAAGGAGCTTGTCGTACATCTGGGTCACCAGTTTACTATTCTCAGCCGAGTTGTCTGCGATCATCACCAAGGCATGCAGGACTGTGTTGCCTAGTGAGTCGGTGGCCTGCAGGCTGGCAGGCTGGTTCGTGTTCTTCAGAAGGTAACTCACTATATCCCACTGCTTGGTGCACGCCGCCAGAGAGAGGGGTAGTTCACCTGGGAGCCAAGAAGGCAGCTTGGGCCTCAGGCCTCCCAGCTTCCACCTGCCTACTCCTCACACTCTTTGGACAGAAGGCCAGGCCTCCTTGGAATGGGTCAAGCACCCATGGGAAAGGATGGAGCACAGTTTCGGGGTCCCAGGCCCCAATGTAGAGCAGCTGTGCCTTCTCCTATGAGTGCTAGTAAATGCAGCCCTGTGGATGCTGACACAAGGGAGAGGAACCAAAGCTCTTTTCCATCAGAAGGAGAAGAACAGGGGCCAGCCACCAGGGTCCCCATCTCCCCTGCCTCTCTCTTTTCTTCAGCAGAGCCCAGGCCCACTGCTGTCTAACATAGATGCCCTTTAGCCAGGCCCTGTCTGGTTGAGTCTTGTCACATGCCAGTTCTAACAGCCATTCCCCAGCCCTGGTCCAGGCATGTGTGTGTGGCAATCTTCCTTGGCCAGATAAGGGCAAACATCTCTTAAGACAAACTGTTTTTGCAAGCAGCCTAGTGATTAGAAACATGGGCCTCGGGGTCAGACAGACCTGGTTTGAAGGGCCCACTCTACCACCGATTAACCGTGTAACCCCACTCTGTGCCTCAATTTAACCAAGAAAGACTGCTCACCAAAATAGAAACAAGTCCCTTGGCTTTTCTTCTGGAAAAAGTAGCCGCAGGCCCGGGCATGCACGTCAGCACCGTTCTCCACCAGGAGCTTCACACACTGCAGGCTCCTCTTCTCAATGGCGATGTGCAGGGCACTGTGGCCTCGGTAGTACTCATCTGTGCACTGGGCATTCACCAGGGGTGTGGGATTGCCTGAGTCCCGGTCGATCTGCAGCAGTGGCAGGATGCAGGCATTGGTCCCATCCCGAAGGTTCAGCATGGCCTTCATCAGGCACGTCTTCCCCGTGGAGCCCTCTGTGGGAGAAGGGGAGGGGAGGGGCACCAGGGTGCTTAGGCTGGAGTGGCTGGGCTGCCTGCCAGCCTGTACAGTGAGCCCAGGCTCCAAAATGCTACTGGGGAGGATAAAAACAGATTGCCACAGATGATCCGTGGAAGCACAGCTATGATACAGGTTATTAAGTTTCCACTGACTACCATTTCTGCCCTAGAAATTGTTTCTAAGACATAATTTGTCCTACGTGCAATGTTGTCTATACAAGAACATTTGAAGCGGTGTTTGTTACGTAGCTCCACCACTTAATGGCTCTGTCTCCTCAGGCAAGTCATTTGGCCTCTCTTAACCTGTTTTTCTCAGTGTAAAATGGGAATATTCCAGGGTTATTGTAAGGGTCAAATAGAATTATACACAAAGTGCTTAGCACACAGAGGGTCAGACACACAGTATTGTTGAGGCCAAAAACTGCAAACAACCTAAACGACCAATAATAAGGAATCAGTTAATGAAATTATGGTAAATCTACACAATGGAAAACTCTGCAGTTGTAAAGTGACTGAGTTAGAGGTATGCATACTGAAATGGAAAGTACTACAAGATGTAGTATATTGGGGAAAAAAGCACATTACAAATTAGTATACATGGCACAACCCCATTTAGTAAATCCAGAGGGTGCCAAAAAAATGTATACACATTTTAAGAAAGGAAAAAACTCTATTAAAATTGTAATACTCAATATATACCAATAACAAAAGATGAATACAAGTCACATTTGACTTCTCAATTACAAGAGGTGCTCAAAGTGGTTACCGTCAGCATCATTTTAATACAGTTTCTCCTTTCTTAAAATGTGTATACATTTTTTTTGCACCCTCTGTATATACCTAATATATTTAAATAGTTTGAAAAGATGTATCCCAAATCATTAACAGAGGTCCAAGATGACATACTTTTTACCTTCAGCTTTATGCATTTCATTATTATTTGAATCTTTTGGAATGCACAAGTTATTTTTCCAATCAGTCCAAACAATAAAGATATTTAGATTTTGGGCAAAGAGTGCTCTGAGATGGGTAAAGTATATGATATGTGCATTAGATCTCAACAATGTTGTTATTTAGAAAGAAAGGAAGAAAGAAAGAAAGAAAGAAAGAAAGAAAGAAAGAAAGAAAGAAAGAAAGAAAAAGAAAGAGAGAAAGGGAAGGATGGAAGGAAGGAAGGAAGGAAGGAAGGAAGGAAGGAAGGAAGGAAGGAAAGAAGGGAGGGAGGGAGGGAGGGAATGCACTGAGGACGCCCACAAGGATCCATTCAGCCATTGAAATGGTTTGGGGTGGTAGAGGTAGTCCAGGAGCTGGTGGGTGGGTAGAAGTGGTAGGCACGGCCAGAACTGTAAGCCACATCCTTGGCTATGTCAACAAGGCCCCCCTGCAGCCATTCCGGCAGGAGGGCTGCTAAGGGCACTCCCCGCTTTAAAAAAGAAAGAAAAAGAACACTAGCCCCTTGGCTCCTGACCATGGTCAAAGCCCATCCAGCCAGCTCAGTCTCAGCACAGCTGGCAAGACACGGCGGCTCTGGCCTGCAGGGCAGGCTTACCTGTGTATGCCGAGTCGGTGAGATACTTGCTGCTCCGGCAAAGGTACTCTAGTAGCCCAGCCAGTTCCTCGGGGACACCTCGGGCAGCCACGCTGAAGAGTAGGTCACGGTCAAAGCGGTTTGGGTCTGGTTGGCTGCAGGAATGTAGCTTGTGAATGATGCTGTAAAGGAGCCACAGGCCCCCCAGAAAGCTCCCCATCTCAAGGAGCCCTATGAGCACTGTGTACCCCGCAGGTCCAGGAGCCCCATGGGAGCCTTTCTGAGGGCCTCTGCCCTCCCAGGGCAAAGCAAGGAGACCCCAGATGCTCAGAGCCCCAGAAGGGGAGGGGGGGGACTGTCCAAGGCTCTAGCTCTCAGCATTCCTGTGGCTCCAGGCATCACAGATGTTTCACAGCATCGGGTGCTTATCATTCGCTAGGTGCCTTGATAATCTTACAATAGGCTCATTATCCCACAGGGTCAATTTCAGCACAGGAATTTGTCATGGCTCCTGAGCTGGGATCCAGGTCAGGATGGGGCTATAGGATGTGCCCACAGGCTGTTGGGGGCTGTATGCACTGCTGGCCTCGACAAAGGAATTAAGAAAAGTCCCGTGTCCTCTCAGAAACCACTGTTGGGCTAATAATGGAGTATCTGCACCTTTAACCCTCACTTCAGCCCCGGGGGCAGGAATCTCTACTTTTTCCACTAGACAAACAAGGAGAAAAAGTCACTTCCCCAAAGTCACAAGGTGGCAGAATGGGGCTCCCTTGGGGGCTGTCTAACTAACTCCAGACCCTGACTCTTAACCCCAGAGAAACTCTAGGCTGGGCAGACAGGTTTCTCAGAGACATGTGGACCCAGCACTGAAACTTACCAGATGTTCACCGGGGTTTTATTGAGAAGCCACACTTCCGGGAAAGGTCCCAGCAGGGTCCTTTTAGCTCTTCAGAATCTAACAGTGTCTGGTGACAGGGAAGGGGAAGGAGTACCTCCTCCTGGACATGTCACACTATTCACAAACACAAGCTCATTGTGGGGCTCCCAGCACCATGACCAGCATATATGAAGGGACAAACAAAGGGAGGGGTGCTATTTGACACTTTAGGGACCCTCAGGTCCTAGCTTCATGGCTCCCATGGAATGGGCCAACCAAGTAAGGTTGTTGACTTTGATGAGTGAGGGGATTGTTGGGATCGGTCGTGTCCTAAGCCATATTCACATGACGGGGCCAGGCCCTGCCTCCTCTACACCAGGAAGTTGCATGTCTGCCTGGCCTGGTCAGATGCATCATCATCTGCCCAGCAGACCACGTGGCCACAACATGACCAAGAGGGCTCTGCGTCTGACTAGGGAGCCCTGTGGGTAGTCCACTCAGGGGAAGTGGCTATTTGGACAAAGTATTTCCTGTCGCAGGCTGATATCATAGTCTTGGGGTAGGGAAGCCCACAAGGGCACAGACTGAGACACCAAAGGGCATCAAGGGGCCCACTCGGCCTGTCTAGCAGGCTACCCAGCTCCTAAAAGCCTTGCACGCACCCTCTCCTGCCCTGGTCTGAATCTGACAGTGCTCCTCCAGCACAAACAGTATAGGGGGCTCTGGGCTGAAAAACCAAGGCTGGTGGCTGTGTCCCAGGCATGAGGAGGAAGGAAGGGGCTTCCTTGACAGAGTCCTGCCTGAACCATGAGGATTCTCCTGGTCAGACCTCATATGTCAGACCTCACACTGAGGGGGATGCCAGGTGCACCCCCCACATACACCCGCAGGGCTAGACGTGTCACTCCCAGCAAGAGTAGGCTCACACAGTCTAAACTGGTAGAGACCACAGGATGATCAAAGTGAAGATGACTCCCAGGAGAAGCCCACCATCCACAATCTCCAGAGTCTACATCCCCTGGGCAACAGGTTCAGCCTTGGAGCAGAACCCAGGAGCTCCTGGGACATTTTTAGATGTCCTTGACTCTCTTGTCAGATTGGAGTGTGATTCCTGCTACCATCTGTCACAGGGACCATGACAGGGTGGGGTCCATGGCACAAACAAGGAGGATGCAAGGGTCAGTTGAATACTTGGAGCTGGAAGAGTATGAAGAAGAAGAATACTACCTCAGAAAGCAAAAGGCCAAGAATAAGGAAGGTTCCAGAAGGAACCACCCCAGAAAGCAGAGCAGAGTTCAGCCTGTCAGACCCAGGAGCCATCAGAGCCTGATGAAGGACCCTGCAGGGGTGCTCGGCTGTAAGTGAGGGGCCCCAGGGCTGCACCCCCATTTGCTGCTTCACCTGAAAACTCTCTTTCGGAAGTAATCGAGATTCACGTTGATCATAGGGGAGAAGTTCCGGTCCTCATGCTGGAATGGTGACTCCATGGGGGCCGGCCCATCCCCAGGGCCCAGCTTTCCTTTGTCCATATCAGCACCATCTTCTTCACCTCCATCGTATGTCTCCAGCCTGAAAGCAGCAGGGCTGGAGGGTGAGGTCATCCTGAGGTGTGGAAGCTGCTCTGTCCAGCTGGAACCTCTGTGGAGACAGAGATGTGAGAGTCCCCTCTTTCCTCCCAGCCTCAGGCAGGGGTAGGAGGTCTGGCTGGGGTTGCAGAAAGAGAAGTTTAGAAGCTAAGTACAATTAGAACCACCCACTGTGCGGAGCTCAGCCCAACAGGAAGGGGAGAGGAGGGAGGGAGGCAGAGGGTGAGGAGAGGGAGGGAGGTTCCTGGCTTGAGGATGGCCTTGGGTCCTAGACTAGGGTAGGAACAGGGACTCAACAGGTCTGCCTCTTTGACATTGTCCCATTGGAAGGGCCATGATTGTGCCCGACTTTCCCTCCAGGACTTCCTGATATCTGAGAGGCCACAGCTCCTGGTCCAGGGGTAACAAATGTTTGCATCAACAGCACAACCCTTACTCTACATGACATCTTGTCTAGTGGTCAATATTCACAACAGATAAAAGTGTCGTTGTAGGGTGGGGGCGGGTCACTCAACCTCTCACTACAGAGAGAGGGCGCTCTGGGGGAAACCGATGGAAAACCACTAGTCTATCAAACCCCTGATTTTGTTGCCAGGACAACTAAGGCACAAAATGGGGAAGTGACTTTCCCAAGGTTGCTAGCTGTTGGCAGAGCCTGATCTAAAACCACCTCACCCTACCATGACGTCCTCTTCAGTTCTTAATATCTTTTGGGGCCCATCTGTACTTTCAGTCTGACTCATCTCTGAAAGCATCAAATGCCACCTCTCTGTGCCTTAGGGTGTCTAGGGGCTTCAGAGTTGGGAGGGAGACTCTTTGCTGGCTGCCCAAGCACCGTCTGACAGGCAGCCCCACCTCAGGCCCTTGACAGGGCTCTGTAAGCTCAGTTGACAGCACTATCTCACCCTCCCAGGAGAACTGAAACCACAGCTCCCATTGCATGGCAAGGGGTAAGCCACGGTGGGGGGTGGGGGCGAGAGGAAGTCCCTGTGCACAGCAGAGGGTAGGCGCAGAAGACGAAAAGCGTCAGAAATGGGTGGGGAGATAGCAGGGTGGGACAGGGGAGCAGGGAGCAGAAAGAGCACGGGGTTGGGAAGTGGAGAAGATGGGGTGGTGGCAGGGCCAGGGCCCTCTAGGTCCAGCTTCAGGCTCCCCCAGCCCTGGGGAAACTGGGTGGAGGATTTCTCACAGAAGCAGGGGAGGTGGGGACCTGGCTGACTGCCTCAACATGCAGTTTTGACCCACCATCTTTCTACCCATCCTGGGGCTTTCTTCCTGAGACAGACACTATTTATCTGGCTTATGTCCCCACCCCACCCCATTCTGCCTCCCTGGCTGCTCAGCAGCCCACCACTCCCAAACCTCAGCAGCAACAGCTGTCTGTCCAGCCCCTGCCCACCCCCCCACTGGAGCCCCCACCCACATCGGTCAGGAAGGAAGGGGTGTAGCAGTCCAGGTAGAGAGAGCGGGAGCCCCACTTAGACCCTGGACCAGGGCTACAGAAGCAAGGAGCCCATTTGGGGACCCCAACCGGATCATTCACTGTCAAGCTTGGGGGCCCGGCCCCTCAGAAACCCCCGGAATTGCCCTTCTGACTTACCCCTCACGGCTGAGCTAGGGTGTGGCAGCCGTTGGCTGCCGGCTCTGAGATCCCGCAGCCTCTGAGGCGGCGGGGGCTGCGGGAGGAAGTGAAGCCTGGAGGGGCGGCAAGCCCTGACAGCCCAGGAGCTGCAGCACCTCCCCAGCCTATTGGGAGCTTGGGCTGACGGACTGTCGTCTCTCGGTGTTCCACGCCCTCAGCCCACCAGGCCAGCCTGCGTGGTGGCGAGTGGAGATTAACTCCTCAGTCAGGACAGGGTGGCCTTCAGGGACTGACCATCTGGATCACTGGCCACACCCTGCTCTGGGAGACACGCCCCATCTCCCCCCAACTCTTACTGTCTAGTCACTGAGACCCAAGATGGGGGCGGTGGGGTAATCAGAGGCAAACCTCTGGTGCTGGAGCATTACCTCCACTGGGAGCTGGCGTGGCGGGGGTCCTGCCCCACTACGCTGAAATCTACTTCTCCCTTTTCTCACCGCAGCCTCTTAACTGACATGTGGCTCAGACTGAGAACTGGCTGACCCATCACAAGGCAGAGAGAGCTGATGTGGATGGCCCACAGCAATAGGAGAGGCTCAGTTCAGCACGTGCCCCTGGGAATGCACCCCTTCCACCCACCCAACAGTTTGAGGGGACTTCCCCATATCCTGGGGACTCCCCAAGGTCACTAGCCATGGACCCTGAGGATTGGACTTCCCCTAGTTAAGGGCGCTTCCAGCATGGATGGGGTGCGGTGGAGGGGGCAGAGAAACAGGCTTGTATTGCCCTAGTGGACTCAACCCTGGGGTTTGGAGACACAGTCACCATCCAGGTAGCCCTAGGTGCTTCCCTATCTTTCATACCCTAAAACACAAACCATCAGCAAGCCCCCTCTACCCCTCCCAAACCCCTCCCCCCCCACACACACCAAATTCACCAAATTTATCTATGTCTTTGCCTGGTCCAAGCCACTATCATCTCTCCCCTGGGAGACTGCAGCCACCTCCAGACAGGTCTCCCTGCTTCACTTCTGCACCACTCTCACCCTCAAAATTCATTCTCCTTACAGCAACTGGAGTGCTCTTCCAAAAATGAAAACCGGATCAACTCATTCACTGGCTTAAGTCCCTCACTTCCAACCAATGGTTTCCCCAGGTGTTTAGAATAAAATGCAAACTCCACAACCCTGTACAATCTGGATGTCCTTCTCCACAACTCCACCTTCATCTCTCATTGCAACCCTGTCTTGCATGTTATACTGTAGACCTGTGCTGTCAATATGATAGTCACTAGCCACAATGGCTATTTAAATGTAAATCAATTATAACAAAATTAAATTAAACATTCAATTCTTCAGTCACAGTAGACACTTTTCAAATGTTCAATAGTCACATGTGGTTGGTTAGTGGCTACCATATTGCACAGAACAGGCACGGCAATTTTCCATCATCACAGAGAATTCTATTAGGACTATACTAGATATTCTGAACACATTTCAGTCTCTCTTCTGTTGCCTCTGAGCCTTTGCACAAGCTGTTCCATCTGCCAGGAACCCTCCCCCTGCCACACACATAAACATTAACTACCCCTGCTCCCACCAACTCCTATTCATCTGTTGCCTCTCCATTTAAACAAAACTTTCTCTGGGCAGCCTGTTGTAGAACTTAGGCTGGGTTGGAGGTCCCCACTATGTGTTCCCATGACACTTTGTACTTCTCTGATCATAACTCGTTACCCATTATTAACATTTATTAGGGCCGGCCGAGTGGCGCATTGGTTAAGAGCTGCCTTGGGACACCAGAGGGCCCCGGGTTGGATCCCACATATGAGGGCCAGTGACACTGCCCTCTATAGCTAAGATGCTGAAAAACAGCTCAACCTGGAGCTGGGCTGCCATGAGTTGCCGGCAACCACGTAGGCTGCAGCCCCTGTTGCAGTGGGTTGCCATGGGCAACCGTGTGTAGCCAGCAGCCAGCGAGAGCGGCCAGCAGCCGCAGTGAGTGGCCGTCCAGAAGCCGGCGACTGATCTGCCTCACCTGAGAAGAGCACAATGATGGTGCCAACTTGGGCCAGTGAAGCAACGTCCTCCACAACTAGACTGAAGAACAAAACGACAGCAACTTGTCTGTTCCCCTTCCTCCAATTCCCCAGCGCTGTTCCCATCCCCCAATTCCCCAATAAAATCTTAAAACAAACAAACAAACAAACAAACATTTATTAATTGTTTGGCTTCACCTTTAATAATAACAAATGCCTACTGAGCACTGACTATGTGCTTTCTCATACACTGCTGGTAGATTATAAAATGTGCAGCCACTTAGGAAAAGAGTCTGGCTGTTCCTCAAAAGATTAAACAGAGTTATCATATAACCCAGCAATTCCACTCAGGTATGTACTCAAAAGAAATGGAAATACATATCCACACAACACTCGTACACAAATGTTTACAGCAGCAAATATTAGCCAAGTGGAAACAACCCAAATGCCCATCACCTGATGAATGGATAAACAAAATGTGGTCTCTCCATACAGTGGAATATTATCCAGCCATACAAAAGGAATGAAGTACTGATCCATGCTACAACATGAATGAACCTTAAAAAAATTAGGCTAAATGAAAGAAGCTAGTCACAAAAGATCTCATATTCGCATGATTCTGTTTATATGAAATGTCCAGAATAAGGAAATCTGTGGAGAAAGAAAGTAAATTAGAGGCTGCTTAAGGCAAGGGGATTTGGGAGGAAATAGGGTGCTAACAGGTACAGGGCTTCTTTTTGGGGTGATGAAAATATTCTAAATTTGATTGTGATGGTGGTTGCACAATTCTGTAAATATACTAAAGACTTCACTGACCACGCACCCCAGCCAGCCGAGCCTCCCTGCCACGCCTCTGGCCAAGACTTCAACAGACCTCACCAAAATGTCGTCTCCAATGGAACATGCCATAGAATACATGATTTTCGTGTTTCACTAATTTGCTGGGGATAAAGGCTACTTAACAAAAGAAGACCTGAAAGTATTCATGGAAAAGGAATTCCCTGGGATTTTGGAAAATTAAAAAGACCCTTTACCTGTGGACAGAATAATGAAGGACCTGGACCAGTGCTAAGATGACAAAGTGGGCTTCCAGGCTACTTTTTGCTAATTGCTGGGTTCACCATTGCGGACAACGATTATTTGGTGGTACACATGAAGCAGAAGGGAAAGAAGCAGGCAGCATTGAGAAATTACTCCCACCCTGGTGAGAGTTCTCCCAAATGATCGCTTAAGGAATCTCTGCCCCAAACTTCCCCCTGTATAAGGATTACATGTGCAGATTGGGATCCTTAGAAAATGTACAAATAAAATCCTACCCTGGGCCAGCCAAGTGGCTCATTGGTTAAGAGTTGGCTTGGGAGCGCCAGCTCTGAGCAGCAGGGCCACCGGTTTGGATCCCACATGAGGACCAGTGACACTGCGCCCTCTACAGCTAAGATGGTGAACAACAGCTTGACTTGGAGTTGGGATGCCATGAATCACCGGCAATGGCGTAGGCTGCAGTTGGGCTTCAGTGGGCTGCAGTGGGCTGCCGTGAGCTACTGTGAGTGGCTGGCAGCCAGCATGAGCAGCTGGCAGCCGGCAAGAACTGCTGTGAGTTGGCCATCCAATGGCCAGCGACCGATCTGTCTCAGTCGGAAAGAGTGCAATGATCACAATACCAACATGGGCCAGTGAAGCGGCATCCTCCACAACTAGACTGAAGAACAAAAGAACAGCAACTTGCCTGTTCCCCTTCCCCAGTTCCCCAACACTGTTCCCCTCCCCCAGTCCCCCAATAAAATCTTTAAAAAACAAAAAAACAAAAACAAACCACCAAAACAATTCTACCCCCATTTGACAAAAGAAAGAAAAGTCAATTAAAGCCAGATAAACATTTGACTTTTATATTGCTTGCATCCATTTGTCCTCAATAAATAAATTCCTATTTTAGTTCCTAAAACAAAAGAAAAACAAAAGACCACTGAATGCTTTAAATTGATGAATTTTATGAGAATTATATATATATATATATATATATATATATTTTAAAGGCCTCTGTGCAGAGACAAATTCCTGTGTTTTTAGGGGGGAAATTAATCAAGAGAAGAAGCAAAGCTTTCTTAAACCCAATGTCATCGGAACCATATTTTAAGAAGCTTCACCCAATAAATTCTCCACACAAGGAAAATCTCCCCAAGCAGCCTTTATGCAATATCTTTCCTATGCATTTCATTTCACACTTAGTCACTTTTTGTAAAGCAATGTTTCTTTTATTTAGATTTATTTTCAGAATCAATTTTAAGAAAAACAAGAGAGAGGTCACAAAAAATGTGTCAGAGATATGCTTTGGAGAGGGGAACTAAGGGTCACGGATGGGATGGCAACTTACTTTTCAGTATCATTTGTACTATTTGAATTCTTTACCATTGGCTTAAAAAAAAAAAACACCAAATACAGGCATCCCTGCTTTTTGAAAGTTCACATTACACCACTTTGCTTTTAGGAAAGCCCTACATTAGTACCTGTTTTTGCTAACCAAAAGAAATCTGAAGAGGATTTTTGCTTTTACAAAAAAAGGCAAAAGAGAAAATTGCATTCAGCATGTTTTTCAGTGAGCCGTTATAGAGGCTGTCCACACCAAGCAGTGAGAGTGGCCACCAAGCTCCTCCTGGGAACTACCCTCAGCATCACAGCATCAGGTGCCATAGCTTTGAACTGTGTCTGTGAGCATCTGTGCTTTTTCTCAGTTTTGTGCATCCGTTAGCAAGTTGTGTCATAAGGTATCAGAAAAGCCTAACAGAGCTCGTAAGGATGTTAAGCTTAGCATAAAACTGGACATAAGTAAGCACACAAATATGATTTGGCAGGCTATTTTTGGATTTGGGAATGCTCAAAATTTTTTCCATATAAAATAATGGTAATTGCTCCTTTGCTTTACACCATTTCAGCTTACGAAAGTCTCCATAGGAACGCTCTACTTTCAGATAGTGGGAGAAACCACTATCTGAATCCAACTCAAATGTGCAAGAGATGTCTAAAGTCTGTGCATAATTAATGTGAATACTAAAGAGAAGTGTGAGAGAGGGTTTTGGAGTCTGGAAGGCAGGAATTGCTCTGGTCTTACAGAGAAGGAAGGGTGGTACTTGGGGGGAAGAAGGTGGACAAGCCAGAGCCTGCACCTACAGACTTTGCTTTTCCTCGTGCTTACTCCAAAACTAGGTCCAGAGTCTGGGCTGGGCCATGTTTACTGGCCAGATGCAGCCTCCCTGAGCAGTTTGTGTCTGAGATTGATAAAGAGATAGAAACAAGCCAGCTTAGTAGGCTAGACAGGCTTCCTGCAAATGGGGAGACACAGACAGATGAGCAGGCTCACAG